TCTCCCTCTCCCTCTCCCTCTCCCTCTCCCTCTCCCTCCCTCTCCCCTCTGGATGGAACCATGAACACACTAAGCCCTCTACCCCTGAAATGGACCCCAGTTCTTAGCATTTGAAGCTTCCCGTTGGTCATTTGAAAACTGGCTACGTCTTAAGCTCAGTAGTTCCTAAATTTAAGATATCAGGGCCTTGTGTCCACTGGGATGCAGATATGACAGCCCACAGGGCAAAGAGACATGCTCAAGGTCACCCAACGGTTAAAGTTGTGACCACAGAGCTGGGACCTCTTCCTGCTTCCTTCCAGCTGCACCAGAACATCAGATGGATGGACAGGTGGTTGGTGGATGGGTGGGTGGGTGGGTGGATAGATGACTGGGTGGATGGATAGATGAATGGGTGGATGGATGGATGGATGGGTGTATGGGTGAGTGGATGGGTGGGTGGGTAGATGGATAGATGGACAGGTGGATGAATGGATGCGAGGATGGGTGGGTGGGTGGGTAGGTGGATGGATGTGTTCTGACTGTCACCCAATGACCCAGAGGAGAAGACAGCAAAGACAGCCTCCCTCGGGGCAGGGGCTGCTCATGCCTCATTCTCTACCCTTGTGCCAGCCAGCCGTCGAAGCACAGAAGGTAACCATTCATAGAAGCAGCTGATGTGGTAATCATAATCCTGCCCCTTGTTCGGGCTCAGCGTTGCCATCTCTACAGTTAGCGCATGTCACAGCGAGCACTGGCCAGGTGTCATCGAGGAAGGGGACCACCTTCATAATACCACACCTCTGCCACACAGAGCATCTGGGTAAATGTTTGCTGAGTGACAGCAAGAGAACATAGCCAGGCAGATGGCCTGTGGACGGGGATGTAGGAACAGACGGGAAAAGAAGTGGACAGCCAGATGGGTGGAGAGAAAGTGAATAGCTACACCCACAAATAGATTAACAAGGATGAAGGGAGGTGGGAAATGGAAAAGCTGATGGGCAGGGCAGCCAGCTAGAGACATTACCACATGCACTGATATAGACATGTATGTGTGGATAGATGTATGCATGTGTAATGTCTGTGTAAGTGATAGATGATGGATGAATGGATGGGC